TAGTTGAGCATGTGCACATTTTCCCCCACACAGGTCTTCAGTATTCCTTATTCCCTCCTATGGCTGACCATAAGATCGAATATCATATTCCCTCGTCAACGCCGTGGGTGAAAGAACTGGCTAGGAAGGATATGGTAAGATTCGAAATAGGCGATGAAATTTGTGAGGAAATTATTGTTGCTTTTACCCGAAATTGTATGCACATGGTCAACTACATGTGTTGGTGACAGTATGAAAATTTTTCGGGAAATTCTTGTTGTACACTCCTATTCGGAGGAAGCCTTTGATCTCAGCTGAGGAAAGCGAACATATATTCCTACTCCAACACTGAAAACAGTTTTTCAGGTGACTACTGAATCAAGGGCAGGCGTAGAATATGTAGTTCTACCTCCTAATGTTCCCAGGCGGGTTTCTGTTGATGATGCAAAACCAGGTTTACCAATAATAGAGAATTTCGTCGATGGTAAAGTTGCATCGCTCCGCTGTAATGGTGTGATTTGTTTTGTCATTTTTAGGTGTTACTGTGAGTAGTGGATCTAGGTTGTTGCTCGAAAATGTTAACCCAGCTAATGGTCGGGTTGTTGGGTATGTTAGAGCCTCGGTAGTGGATGATGCAGTGGGTGCGATAGAGTCGGCTCATAAGGCCTTTCTAGGAGGTAGTGTGTGTGTTGGTGGCGTCGAAGTACAGGAGGATCGATACACCCGTGAAAATAGTAGTAGTAGTAGTAGGAAAATACGTATCCTTTCTAGGAGGTAGTGTGTGTGTTGGTGGCGTCGAAGTACAGGAGGATCGATACACCCGTGAAAATAGTAGTAGTGGGAAAATACGTATCCTTTCTAGGAGGTAGTGTGAGTGTTGGTGGCGTCGAAATACAGGAGGATCGATGGATCTGTGAAAATAGTAGTGGGAAAATATGTATTTTTTTCCGTAATTTTCGTCGGTTTTCGTGCACTTTTACCCGAAGTCGTATGTAAATTCTCATGTTTACGAGTGAGCAAAATCCGAGCAAAACCGATATTCCAATAGCTGAGGAAAAAATGGAATTTTTTGGAAAATATTGCGTTTTCTGGAATTATTAGGAAATTGGTCTAAAATGAGCCGAAATGGAAGAGCTGAAGTTCTCGAGAGGATTGCTGATCTCGTCGCTGAAAACAAGGAGAAATTAGCGGCTTTGGAAACTGAGGACACGGGCAAGCCGTTGAGCGTGGTGAGTAGAGATGCGTTGAGGAAATGCAAGATTTGGCAAGATGAGCAAGATTTACGGGTATGTTTTCAGTCTCGAAATGTGGACGTGTCGCGAGTTGAGGAAAATTTCCGTTATTTTGCGGCGAAGTTGCGCGTGCAAGAAAACTCGTGTAGCTCTTTGAGACCAGGTAGGCTATTATGGTGAGGAGGCTGGTTGGGTTGGCAAGTGTTGGAGTAGGAATATATGTTCGCTTTCCTCAGCTGAGCTCAGGAGTTTCCTATACAGTGTTGGAGTAGGAATATATGTTTGCTTTCCTCACCTGAGCTCAGGAGTTTCCTATACAGTGTTGGAGTAGGAATATATGTTCGCTTTCCTCACCTGAGCTCAGGAGTTTCCTATACAGTGTTGGAGTAGGAATATATGTTCGCTTTCCTCAGCTGAGCTCAGGAGTTTCCTATACAGTGTTGGAGTGGGAATATATGTTCGCTTTCCTCACCTGAGCTCAGGAGTTTCCTATACAGTGTTGGAGTGGGAATATATGTTCGCTTTCCTCACCTGAGCTCAGGAGTTTCCTATACAGTGTTGGAGTGGGAATATATGTTCGCTTTCCTCACCTGAGCTCAGGAGTTTCCTATACAGTGTTGGAGTAGGAATATATGTTCGCTTTCCTCACCTGAGCTCAGGAGTTTCCTATACAGTGTTGGAGTAGGAATATATGTTCGCTTTCCTCACCTGAGCTCAGGAGTTTCCTATACAGTGTTGGAGTAGGAATATATGTTCGCTTTCCTCACCTGAGCTCAGGAGTTTCCTATACACTGCTATTAGTAATTTCAGATGTGCTCAGCTATACCAAGAGAAGCCCTCTGGGCGTATGCGTGCTGATCGCGCCGTGGAATCTGCCACTGTATCTGATGACATGGAAAATAGCTCCTTGTAAGATCGCTACTTTGGGCGGATTCACAGTGTGTGTTATTGAGCAACTCTCATGCATCGCTCCGCTGCAATTCTGAAAATATTTTTCCGTTATTAACATGTGTTATTTTTCCGAGAGTAAACTATATCGCATATACAATGTAACAATGGCTATGAACATATGTTGTGATGAAAGTATCCGTTTGGGACTGTGATGATAGCGACAACTTGTTCATTATAATTTGTCCTACAAAATAACACACATTTGCATATCAAATTTACACATAGGGATCGATAGCGAGCGAAGATATAATGAGAGACTCTATTATCTTACTTATGGTTTTTCCCCTTTTTTTACCTTTCTTTTTTTCCTTTTTTTCTATGTTTTCACTTTTTTTTACCTTTTTTTACTTTTTTCTGCCGTTTTTCACCTTTTTTCTGCTCTTTTCTACTGTAACCATTCAGGCATTGCTTCGGGCAATACATGTGTATGTAAGCCCACGGAACTGGCGTCGTCTACTCTGGCTGAGCTCGTCAAGCTGATATCATCTGATGCGACGATAGGACCTAAAATGAGAGGAGTTATTAATGTGGTTAACGGCAGAGGTAAAAATATACCCTTTAGAAACTAAGCGGATGATGGAATTTCTTCACCCTAGTGATGTGAAAAACACTAGTGAACAAATATATTTCACGACTAGTGCATATCACCGAGAATATTGGAATTTTCACAGAGTATTACGCCACTTCGCGTACGAAAGTTTAAGTACAAGAGTATAACTACGGACTCAGAAGCAACTCCGAAGAGAGCAGCTGAGCCGAGGCATGCGTATATGTTGAGGATACTATGGTATCCGTGGAGTAAAATTATTGTTGTACATTTACATTGTGTGCGAATTTGATATGCAAATGTGGAGAATGTGCGTCGTTTTTTCTATTCCGGGATTATTGATAGTGAACAACTTGTCGCTATCACAGTCTCGAAAGGTTACTTTTATCACATCACATGTTCATAGCAATGTTAACATTGTTTATGCGATATAGTTTAATCTCCGAGAATAACACACATTTGCATATCAAACTATAACATAAGACTATAGTAAAATATTTGATAACTAACTTGTCGCCATTCGATGCATTACAGTGTGATCCGAGTCGTCACGCAAATGATTTTTTCTACAAATTTTTCATATTTGCATATCAAATCGGCACACCTGTAGTAATATGAATATGAAAACATTCGCTGTGAGCATTCGCATTCAGCAGGTGAAGATCTCGGCGCGGTTCTGTGTACGCATCCTCTGGTGAGAGCAGTGTCTTTTACGGGAGGAACTACAACTGGTCGGAAAATAGCCGGTGTATGTGGAGTTTGGTTTTTGACAAGAAAAGTGTGTATATATGTCGTCAGTTAACGGGGCCGCACTTGAAAAAATTATCACTCGAGCTCGGTGGGAAAAATGCAACGATAGTGTGGAGGGATGCTCCTATCGAGAGCGAACAGATGATGACTGCTGTTGTTCGCAGTGCATTTGCAAACTCAGGCCAGGTAGGATTAGGTCTGCTAGAGTCGTATTTTTGCTGATTTCTGCACTATATATATGTTTACTTTTCTCAGCTGAGCTCAGGAGTTTCTCTACTAGTTGTAGGAGTTTACGTACGAGTTCGTATAGAAACTACTGTGGAAAATATGCACATATGACAATAAGAAAATGCTGGTGAAAATTTTGAATTATCCGAATTCATATATAAACTCCTCAGCTGAGAAGAGCGAATATATAGCTCAATACTACGTGTATAGGAAACACTAACGAAAAATTCCTCAAAATTCTCCAACACATGTAGTTGACTTTCCATGATCAATCTTCAGTTCCAGAAAAACGCTGCATTGCTTAAAAGTCTGTTCGCTTTCCTCAGCTGAGCTTTAGAGCTTCCTCACTAAATATGCACGCTACTATACGAATACATAGAAATGTACGGGAATTGATTAGAATTGCCAAAAATTTCCTCAGAATTTTCATCTTGTCATCAACATTTGTGGATTGCCATGCGCATATTTTCCTACACTAAAGAGTTTATTATTGGATTCTCAGATTTGCTTATGTGGTTCACGTCTGCTGGTGCACGAGGAAATTTATGATCGATTCACTTCAGCGTTCGTTTCGGAGGCTGCTAAGCTGAGAATTGGAGATCCGCTGGAACCTACTACTACTACTGGTGAGCAGTCTGGAAAATATGCATATGGTCAACTACATGTGTTGGTGCCAATGAAAAAATTGTTGGTTTCTGCGCACTTCACTAGAATTCTATAATTAGTGAGGAAACTCCTGAGCTCAGCTGAGGAAAGCGAACATATATTCCTACTCCAACACTGTATAGGAAACTCCTGAGCTCAGCTGAGGAAAGCGAACACATATTCCTACTCCAACACTGTATAGGAAACTCCTGAGCTCAGCTGAGGAAAGCGAACATATATTCCTACTCCAACACTGTATAGGAAACTCCTGAGCTCAGCTGAGGAAAGCGAACATATATTCCTACTCCAACACTGTATAGGAAACTCCTGAGCTCAGCTGAGGAAAGCGAACATGTATTCCTACTCCAACACTGTATAGGAAACTCCTGAGCTCAGCTGAGGAAAGCGAACATATATTCCTACTCCAACACTGTATAGGAAACTCCCGAGCTCAGCTGAAGAAGGCGAACATATATTCCTACTCCAACACTGTATAGGAAACTCCTGAGCTCAGCTGAGGAAAGCGAACATATATTCCTACTCCAACACTGTTGCAGGTCCGCTAATCTCGCGAGAACACGCCTGGAGAGTTCATAACTTTGTTCTCTGGTCGTTGCAAGCAAACCCCGGCGCTAGGGTTCTCCTGGGCGGCCCTGATGCATATGATGGTAAGTTGAAATGAAGTTATGGGAAAATACTTCACAAGAGTGAATATTACTACTATTATGGAGATTATGTGATAGTAGTTTTACTACCCATGATACTATAGCGATGGACATTGAATATTACAGTATAGACATAGTCTAGATAGATGATAATAGGGTGTGGACAAGTGGGAACTGAGACGCGATAATTGGGAGAGAAATTTGACGTATAGTCTTTAAAAAAAGGTAGTTGACGTAATGGCGATGTTGAACAATGCAGTGCGTGTGAATTTGATATGCAAATGTGTGTTATTTTTTCCGAGATTAAACTATATCGCATATACAATGTAACAATGGCTATGAACATGTTGTGATGAAAGTACCCGTTTGGGACTGTGATGATAGCGACAGCTTGTTCACTATAATTTGTCCTACAAAATAACACACATTTGCATCGATCAAATTTACACGTACTGTGTTAGCTATAAAGAATCGAATAGATTGGGGACAGAAATTGTGCAACTCTATGACAGGCACAGCATTTTATCCGATAACCATTTTGGAAGCTGTTGATCATGCCTTTGTTGCTGACAAAGTAAGGGGAATCTATTTTTGAAGAAGTTGATATTACTTGTTTTCAGGAATTTTTCGGCCCGGTTGTTAGTGTGCATAAGTTTTCCACTGAGGAGGAGTGTATACGTTTGGCGAATTGCTCGTGTTATGGTCTGGCTGGCTCAATTTGGATAAAAGGTATGCGAATATTTCTGATATGTGGAGGCTGCAGCAGAAGAATTCATGTCGGCAATGGAGTTCCACCCGTTTTACGTGAAGTGGCGTAAAACTCCGTGAACAACGCGATAGTCGCGAAATATGTTTTTCACTAGTGTTGTTCATATCACTAGGGTGAAACTGCATTATAGTGTTGATAGAATGATCTTCTCGGGGCAATTCGAAATCGAAATTTTGGGTAGTTATAAAACCAAATTTTTATTCGGGCATGAACTCTTTGAATCAGCTGAGGAGAACTGGAATCAAATTCGGGAGAAAATAGTAAATGTTATTGTTGAAATGCTCTGGTAGAATCTTTAGGTTGACCGATGAAGATTCAGATAAGGTCCACTTTAGATTTCTCTGTTGCTCATCGACTAGCCCGAGATATTGATACTGGTATGCTATGGATTAACACGTGGATGGAGAGGGACCTCAACACGCCTTTTGGAGGAGTTAAGCAAAGGTGGGCTTTTGGGAGGGCCGTTATATAATGGAGTTTCACGACCGTGATATGAAAAACACTGGTGACGTACATAACGTCAGATGCTATGCTTTCTAATTTGCCTAAAAATGAAAAAAAATGGAAAAATGAAAAAAAGAAAAAATGAAAAATAATAAAAATTAGATCTTATTTATCTGAAAAATGAAAAAAATGAAGAAATGGAAGAATGAAAAATAATAAGAATTAGAAAATCTAATTTATCTAAAAAATGAAAAAATGAAAAATTGAAAAAAATGAAAAAAATGAAAAAATGAAAGGATGAAAAATATTAAAAATTAGAAAATCTAATTCATCTAAGAAATGAAAAATGGAAAAAAATAAAAATTAGAAAATCTAATTTGCCTTAAGAGAACATTCATTATTCTGTCTTGTAGTGGCCTCGGTCGTGAAGGCGGAGATTACTCTATGAGCTTCTATTCCAAGGAAAAAGATGTTACCATGAGTTTGTCGTAAGTGATCGATATTGTGTTTCCCTGTGTTCATGGTCAACTTTCGTGTTGTTAATGTGAGGTTCGGTTCTACTAGTGTGAGTAGTTTGGGGAGTTTTATAGATTCTGGTGGATTTGATCGATACAAATGTGTGTTATTTTGTAGGACAAATTATAGTGAACAAGTTGTCGCTATCATCACAGTCCCAAACGGGTACTTTCATCACAACATATGTTCATAGCCATTGTTATATAGGAGTTCCACCCTAGTGATATGAAAAACAACAGTAGGCAATATATTTCACGACTACTGCATATCACCGAGTTTTACGGGTGAAAGTCCAGTGTTGTTTTATTTCCTAATGCGACACACTATAAACAACCCTATAGTTGGAATGCGACCACATGTAAGTCACTAATCGTTGCTAACATCTTGTAAACTCTTGGTAGGTCGTGGAGTCGTTGAAAGTTCCTGTGATCACTCCTGGTTTGAAGTTATCGGAACAGAATAATAGATCTAATTCGGTGTCTACTGATGGGAATAGGAGCAACAGATTGCAATTGCCGAGGAAACAGTCGCATCCTGAACGGGTGAGTGTGTTATTCTCATATTCGAAATGGAAAATTTCCGCTGAATTTTTCACCTAAGCATTCTCATTATAGTCAACTTCTGTAGAATTTTCTTTATGGTGTATATATTATTTTCTGGAGTGTTGGTAACAATAGGAAAATTTTGAGAAAATTCTGGGAAATTCTTATTGGTTTCTGTACCCTTCTACCCGCATTCTATAATTAGTGAGAAAACTCCTAGGGATAGTGAACATATATTCCTACTCCAACACTGATTTCTTGGGTGGTAGAGGACTCTTAGGAACAGTTTGAGATTTATATTTGGTTTCCTCAACTGAGCTCAGGAGTTCCCTCACTATATTCATGAAATTTACATATGACTAAACGGACAAGTGTACAAAAAAACAACAAGAATTTTCCAAAATTTCCTTAAAACTTTCATATTTTACCAACATTTTTGTCCATTTTCAGGTGAGAACTTACAGTGATGATACCGGCGAGATGCACCTTGAACTTTCGGAGGCTCTACTCAAGGTGAGTTGGAATACGACCTCACTGTGATAAAAAATGCACATGGTCGATCACATGTGTTGATGGGAATGGGAAAATTTTGAGGAAATTTTCGGGAAATTTTTCCTGATTTCTGTGGAGTTTCTAACTCGACTCAGCTGAGGAAAGGAGCCAACTCATATTGCAACCGTTATCGGTGTTTCGATCAGATGCCTTTTTTCGACATCAACAGATTCAAGCTACCGCAGCAACCTGCTACTATCCAATCTGACGTTTCTCGATGCGTAAGTAGTTTCCTTATGAACGATGCTCTGTAGGAATTGAAATCAGGTCCTGTGTCGCGCCATACTTCTGAATTTCGGCGTGGAAGACTTTGACAACATCGAAAGACCCATGGGGCATTCGGATCTGTGCCGCCTACATGAATTGCATTACGTAAGGCATTCACAATGTTTGATAAATCTACCCTAGTGATATAAAAAACACTAGTGAAAAATATATTTCACGACTACTGCATATCAACGCGAATATCGCGTTTTTCACAGAGTGATACGCCACTTCACGTAGAAAGGGTGAAACTCCAGTGTTGAGAATTCCCAGCTGAGCTCACGAACTTCTTCACTACGTATGGGAATTTAGGCAGAAGCGTACCGAAATAAATTTCCTCCCAGAATTTTCGTATTGTCACCAACACATGTAGTTCACAATATGCATATTTTTTCGCATTGACAATACGTAATAAATGAATATAATCAGTACTATAACAACCCTAGGCTAGCAGAGCAGATGAGCAGTAGCTCGTCGAGGAAACAGATTCCGCGTTGTTTGAGACGGTCGCGGGTTCGATTCTCGGCGAGGGCATTTTTCCGTTCGCGGCCAATACACGATAAAGGGCGGGTATGAGAGTATTTTAATATCTTTGTAGGGTACATGAACTACACTCTTCCGAATGGTATGTGTCTCGAGAGCTCAACTGGTGTAGTCGTTGAGAAATAATTAAAACGAATGAACGTAGTGAAAATACGCGAAGTGACGGTATATGTTCCGCTCACTTCCGCACAAAGAAAATGAATAAAATTGACAACTGTTCCGTCGCAAGGCGCGAATATATTCGAATTCTCGTCAGAATTCAGCAGAATTTCATTCAGCAGAATTAATAGACATTGGAAGCAACACGTGAGGAAGGTCTTTGAAATCTTAGTTTTCATACTGGAATCGTCTTGTCTCGAACACAGCGGAGCGAAGTGTTTCACGATGTGCATTTTTGTTATTCACATGAGCAGGTACGACTTTATCTCTATCAGTTGATTCTTTCGGGAGAGGCTCCGGGAGTGGTATGGAGTATGGAAATTAGAGTGCTCTCATTTGCTACGTATTCAGGGAAAGCAAAGGCTAAAGCAGCTCCGCGCTAAAGCAGTTGATCGACTGGAAGCCCTGGAACGACCACTTATGACTTTAAGTGGCGGGTAGGCGTGCTTGCGATAGCACTAACAGGCTCGGGAGTTTCCTCAAAAATTATACACGACTCTGGCTAGAATTGTTTGAGAATTTCCTCATCATGTGTAGTTGACCAAATGCTGGCTCTTAGTGTCCTTGCCTACACTCTAGGTACGTCGATGGTGTTATCGCTTGCGCTCGCCACCACCATAAGAATGCCGAGGATGAACTCCTTCAGGAAGGTCTAGCCAAGGTGAGTACAAGTTGTCGGACTTTAGCGCGCGCCCGAGTAATCGATATGGCTAGATGTAGCAATGTGTGTTGAGTTAGGATTTTTACCGACGGTGCGTGCGGACGATAGTGAAGACAGCTATCTTTAATCGATCAATGCTGTGTGGGATGCTGTACGCAGAACAGACGGGTTCTCAAATATCCCATCAGAACATTTGCGTGTGATATAGGTATACGAATTAGCAGTTTATGGTCTTTTTATGAAAAAATCATGCATAAGAAAAACGCACTCCTAGTAAGTACTGTTTGTCAGATTGAGAGGGAATACAGGCGCAGCATCGCTCCGCTGAATTCTGAATCGACGGTGCGCTCGCGTTCATCTTCCCCTAGGGGAATCCGCAGGAAGAAGACTTCTATGTGAGAGAAAAAATAGATTTGTGATTGCGATAGCGAATGGTGACAGGTTCGTGCCGGATTCGAGTTTTGCTGAATGGCATGGCTCAGCTGAACTTGTACAACAGCAAAGGTTGAAGGAGGCGATGAAGAGGAGTAGCGAAGCTCATGTAAGTCACTAGTTATAGAAGTGTACAGAAAGTAACAAGAATTTCCCAGAATTTTCATGTTGCATATTTTCCCACACAGTGGTGAGTAGAGCCTCCGAAATGCCTTTCACAGCCAAGGTTTTATGATGTGATTTTACAGACACTTTGGGTGCGAATGGCGTTGGAGGCTGATGCGATGGAAGAGAAGGAGCGTGCTGGGTGGATTCAGCGCTCGCAAATGCGGAAAGAAAAAAGGGAACGCAGCGAAGAAAGAGTGAAAGCGAGTGAGCATTTGAGCGGCACATTTTACATCTACTTGTTATTATTTTATTGTCAGAGATCGCCGAGGTTAGATCGTTTAAGGCTGAGAACTCAATCGATTTGAAAAAATGTGAGAAGCTTCAGATTCGATTTGAAATGATTTTTATGCAGTGCAATATGAACGCGGCAAGTTCCTCGCTGAGAAAAGGGTCCGTGCGGAAGTTGAAAAGTTCAGAGTGGACGTCCATGCAAAAAAAGAGACCGAGGTGACGACTACTTTCCTGTTGTTTGTTTGCGTTGTATTCGCATTTTCAGATTAAACGGTTTTTCACACAGTACACGATACGTCTGCGAAAACGGTTATTGCCTATAGCATGCCGGTTCAGTCTTGATAAGGGCGCAGTAAGAGCCGCGATGAGCATGTAGTTGAGGCCTCCTACTATTTCTCAGATGCTACATCGGTATATGGCCTTGGCCACCTGTCTGGCTAGTTCGAGAGCGCTCGATATCTCACATTTTCAGTCGGCTGTGAGCTGCTTACAAGCTGCTGGAATATGGTGTCCACGCGTGCAAGCTTTAATGGAGGTGAGCTTACTTTCGGGTTTTTGATGGTATCTGCTAGATACTATCTAGTCGTAGTTGATTGAATATTTGAGAGCAGTGAATGGGAAACTGAATGGTGTTTTCCTGAGCATTTCTTGTGTGTGAATTTGATCGATGCAAATGTGTGTTATTTCGTAGGACAAATTATAGTGAACAAGTTGTCGTTATCATCACAGTCCCAAACGGGTACTTTCATCACAACATATGTTCATAGCCATTGTTACATTGTATATGCGATATAGTTTAATCTCGGAAAAAATAACACACATTTGCATATCAAATTGCCACGCACTGTACATGTAGTTGTCATCGAACTTGAGCAAAGCGCTCTCTCTCACACATTGATGCTATCGAGAACCTGTTAATATAATCTAAAACAGGTATATTGTAGATAATATATAATAAAATACAAAATATGGTATTAATAATTAGGTAATCGGATATTATAAATATATCATATTTGGGTAATTTCTTTATTCAAACGTACATTCTTGGTGAAAAAGTTGTTTAGTTTCTCCATGTAGTTTGCCTCAGACGGACTCAGCCGAGAGAGCGGAGCGAAGGCGCAGTTCACTGCAGAACCCGACAGCGGCATCAGCCGCGAGATCAGCTTCTGCAGCTTCTATTTTCGAGGAGTACGCCAACAGGTCGCCCCGGGTAGGAGAACTGATTTGGTCGTGTTATGTGATGCTCCCTTGTGTAGGAGTCGGCGACTTCTAGCGGGGGAACGATCGAAAAACAGCAACAAGTGGTTTCGGGCGCGCGCGATTTGCAACAGCAACCACAGCCTGTACAAGAACTACAGCAAAGGGAGTCGGTGAAAAAGGCGGAGCGAAGCCGTCAAAGTGTGCTCGAGGTGAGAAAAGTCGTGAAAGTTGCTCTCGATGAAAATTTATTGTCAGACGTTTTCCAACCCTCCAGCTCCTTACACGGTCCACGGCCAAGCACAACCTAGGACCAGGATGACTATCGGAATACCACTACCTTACATGGGGACTCCATCACCACCAGTATGGCAACAGGCTCCATTTGGTGAGTTTCCTTATCACAAAAGTCTGCTTTTTTTCTCTCTGAGGGGTTAAATTTTCTCGATAGGATCAGTAGGTAGTTCAGGAATGTTCGGAAGAACGTTGTTCACTGGTTTTATCAATTCATAATTTTCCAGAGCTCACTTGTTAGTGTTGAGATTCATAGTCGACTGTTCAGCTCCCTACAAGCCTTTCCCTACTGAGGGTTTCAACTTCCCTGTGAAGCCGATCTCGAGTGCGGGGCGCTGGTAGCAGCAGTATTTATCATTATTATCTTTATCTGTGTTCATCCTCCATGCGTTGTCCTATGTTATGCGATGTGAATTTGCACAGGTGTGGAGTTGTAAAGTGGGGAGAATTGTCCTAATAACAATTCAGTGAATTATAATTAGGCCAATTTTTGAATTGAATTCACATCAAGGCACGCTTCACCGCATCGTATTAGTTATTTGGGAGTGTTGGGTGAGACTGAGTGTTAGCCAACTAGGCAGCAGAGGGCGGTGATAATACCGAACCTCACAACACGCCGTGCATTGGCTTAACACCACAGTCACATTGCCTAGCACGCACTGCATGCCACGCAGGCACATAGGCAATGTCCCCCAAACAACTAGTAAAGGTAAAAGCAAAATTCCAGGGTGGAACCGGCTCGAGAGGCTCCTGGACAGCCAGATTGCTGTCACTTCAGTCTCGACCGGTTGCACCACTTTCTGGTTCGGGTCGATCACAATGGCGTGCGCCACGCACGCACGAGCGATACTTGTTACGCTTGCTTGAATTTGCCCCATGCAAGCCTGGACCTTCACAGAAAAAATATTGATAGGAGACGATTCTTACGCCTTGCTGAGGTCGAATATTATCAACTATAAGTGAACTCGAGGCAATGGTTGATGGGATCTAGATATTCTATCTACAATCACACTCATGAATAACATCGAGATTGCAGTGATTGCTATATGATCTTTGCAGAATCGATGATATTCCGGAGCGCAAAGACACGAACTAATATCAACATGAGCATCAACTGGGGTGATGAGTTGATTCAACTCATTTCTCGGTTTCCACAATGTCAATGGAGGATGACACTTCACCTGAATAGTTACTGATTCGACTACACCTTCACCATTTATAGCATTGAACCGCGCCTGATGAGGTCATAAACTTTGAACATAACACGGTAGATGCGAGCTCAACGAGAATACAAGATTACTACAAAAGCGAATTATGTCAGAATAGAAAGGACTATAAAACAACAACTATAATACTTCACCAAACGGACTAGAGTAAACAGTCGGCTTGGGCTTAGGAGGAAGGTCGTGAACTGGTCGCGGGTCCGCAAGATTCTCCCGCACTGCGAAGGTTTTTGGAGCATACACAGGATGCTGTAGAAAATCATCAGCAGGCGTTTTCTTCAAAGGCGTCTGATTAAACTGCCGAGTGCAAGCAGGAACGTCTGTGGGAGGCGGTGCCATGAGCTTCTCGTCGCTACTGAGCTCTCCTGTTCGCCACGCTGGTCGTTCACCAGGGAGCTCACCTGAAAAA